TAAGCCCTCAGGGCTCTCACCGTTTTTGGCGTTTAGATACTTCATGACCTACACCGCATCCCGGTCAAGGTCGAGCTTCTTGGCGCGGAGAATACCCTGGATGTAATGTGACACACAGGTCCAATTGTCCTCACCCTCCGTCATCATCGGTATGACTGTGTCCACTGACAGCAGTCCAACTAACTGTTGAGCCTCCAGGCGGGGCCTTTCCCAACGCTGGCAGTGGAAAAAGGTATGTTCCACGTCAACGGGAATGCCTGGGCAGTATATGCAATTGGGTGACACGGCTTTGCCCATCTTGAACAGGTACGACCGGAAAAAGCCGTGACCCGTCAGAAATTGGGTGAGGTAGAAGTCCACCTCTCCGCACCGCCGATTAACCCAAGGTTGGACTTGCTGTATCAGTCGTCTGGTCCAGCGTCCCCGAGTCTCCTGTTCCCAGCTCTCCTGCCACAGCTGGTAGGTGTGGGTGCGTTCCTCTGTTCGTGCCTGGTCCTCCCCACGGCGCTGATAAATTGCTTTTCTCTCCGCCGCCAAAAGTTTGACGGGGATGACTCCAGCAACCACCAGGACGGCGGGTTCGGACACTGTTCGGTAGGCAGATGCAACTCTTAGTGCTGCCTGACGCTGCACTCGGGCGAGCCGCATCGTATATACCTCCTTATTGAGAGCGTTTGTCCACACCTCAGCACCCTACAAGAGTATGGACTGGACAGAAGACATTAACAGCCTTCTACGGCTGGACCGAGGCCCTCCGACATTGGCCATCAACCGGCTAAGAGAAGAGACCACCCTAGCGGCCTTGTCCGCCGTACGGAAAATCTGATCCCGACAGCTAAGCTTGCTGTCCACCGTAATCCCAAGGTACTTGGCAGAACGAACGGTCTGGACTTTGACGGCCCCTACCCTCAACGGACTTGATGGTGTCAATCCGTTTTTTTGTTGCTGAAGTTTTGAGGGCTTGAAAAATATGAAACCACCTGATTTTCAGCTGATTCCATGGTAATGGCTTGATTATAAGCTTCTTCAAGAGTCAAAGTTAGATTTTCAAGAAGTCTTTGTCGAATGGACTGTGATATTAATCCTCGAATGAAAGCGCCTCTTATGTACTCGTTACGATTTTCATTAGCAGTGACAGATTTAAAGTTGCATGCTTTACTAAGTTCTTTGAGTTTTTGAAGATACTGATCAATATTTTCTCCTGATTCCTGTCTTCTAGTAGCCAGTTGATGACGTGAATACACCTCATTAGTAGGCTTTATAAAAAGTTTGTCAAGAATAGATATTATAGCTTCAGTATAAGAATCAGCCTCTGAGATTATTTCATGTATGTTGTAGTCCACAAATTTAGTTAGAAGTTTTAGTAGATCATCTTCTGCAGCACATATTTCTTCCATGAAATTCTTGAAAGTGGTTTTCCAATGTTTCCACTGACGATCAGGGTCCAAAGATAGGCTTAAAGAATTTATCCATTTAGATTTCTTGGAATAAACTTGAATATTTAGTGAAAAGATCCTCATTTAAATAGGCTAAATACTTTAAATAAAAGTCTAGAGGTTTCCACTAAATATTATTGTTTAATTTATCATACTTTTACAAGTAATTAACAATTAATTGTTTAGAGCAAATAAAAATGAACCACTTTGGTTGAAAAGCCTAAAAGAATGTCTCTTTGTTTATTTTTCTTTTCATAGCAACCAAAATTCAATAAACTATTTAAAACATATGTCAGCTGATAAATCTGTCAGCCACTACAGGAGCCCCCTACGAAGACTGGAAGTCCATGGAGTTTTTGGAGGGTTCCGAAAAGTCACAAAGAAATAACAAATAACAAAAAAAAATAACACAGGACAAAGGCAATTTCCATCAAACTGAAATTGGATTCTTGAATGTCACTTTTCTTCCAGACTTTGTCGTATACGACTTTTGAAAATCCACATCGTTTGAAGTTTTAGATACATTTGAGGGCTTAACCTCATCATTCTGAAGGACATAGGCCAGTTTAACTCTGTCAAGACTAACTTTAACATTAGAACCATTCACTTTTATTGTGATAGTTTTACTGTCTTTCTTGATCACTGGATGAGGTCCGGTGTATGGATGTTGTAAAGATTTTGTCATTGCATCCACTCTCAGAAAAACGTGCGAACATGTGTCCAAATCACGAAAAATGAAGCTTCGGTTAATGCCGTGTCTCTTGATATTTGTTGGTTTTATTGATAAAATCTTGAGTCGTAATCGAGACACGAAATTAGTCGGATCCTCTAAGGGTGCTAGCTGGGTTGTTGGCATAAAATACTCGCCAGGGAGGCGTAAAACCTCTCCAAAAACCATTTCAGCTGACGAGGTGTTCAGATCCACACGGAAAGCATTTCTTATTCCAAGAAGCACTGTAGGTAAGGATTCAACCCACGTGGAGGCGGAGTGGCACATGATGGCCGCCTTAAGTTGTCTGTGGAAACGTTCCACCATGCCATTTGCGCACGGGTGGTAACTTGTTGTCCTTAATCTTGAAAATCCACACAATTTTCCCAACTCAGCGAAGAGTGCAGATTCAAATTGTTTACCCTGGTCTGTTGTTATTCGCAAGGGAACACCATACCTTGATATCCAACAATTGAAAAGAGCTGATGAGACTTCTTCGGCAGAGATACCTTGCAAGGGGTGTGCTTCCGGCCATCTGGTGAACCTATCTACTACTGTAAGACAGTAACGAAGATTTCCAACTTGGGGTAATGGGCCGATGATATCCACATGAATATGTTCAAATCTACAATTTGAAAAAGGGAAATCGTTGATAGGTGTTTGAACATGACGAGTAATTTTTGAATGTTGACACTCTCGACAGGACAAGGTCCACTCTTTACAATCACGATTCATTGAAGGCCAAACATATCTTGAAGTTAACATTTTATTCATAGATTTTATCCCAGGGTGACTTAAGTTATGGATTGAATTAAACGCTTCTCTGCGTAAACATTTGGGGATATACAATCGTTCTCTACCGTTCTTTGTATCGCAGTAGACGAAAACATCAGAGCCAGGAACTGGAACTGGTTGAAGACAAAGTGAAGTACTGTTTTCGAGAATAGACTTAAGTTCCTCATCATTAGATTGAGAATCTGCCAAGAGATGCAGATCAATTTTACTAGTCTTGTTGGCAGAAATAGATTCTATCCTAGAAAAACTGTCTGCTACTATGTTTGAAGCACCAGAAACATGTTGAATGTCAGTCGTGAACTGTGAGATAAATGAAAGATGGTTAGTTTGAACAGGAGGTAGTTTGTCCATCTTTTGTTGAAAAACGAAAGTGATGGGCTTGTGATCAGTATAGACAGTACAGGAGTTAGCTTCTAATATATGTCTGAAATGTTTAACAGACGAATAGATGGCAAACAATTCCCTATAATAAGCGGGCCAACTGGCTTGCTTAGGAGTTAGTTTTTGGGAAAAGAAGGACAGAGGTTCCCATATTCCATCTTGATTCAATTGTTGTAGTACTGATCCTACTGCAGTATTCGATGCATCACAAAAAAGTGCTAATTTACCATTAGCGTTGGGGTGACAAAGTAATGTAACTTCGGCTAAATGATCCTTACATTTACTGAATTTTTCAGTCAATACATCGGTCCAAGGGACTTTCTGATTCCCTTTTAATGACGAAAGGACAGTGTGGAGAGGGGCTTGAAATTCTGCAGCGTGAGGAATAAACCTGCGGTAAAAGTTCAACATTCCCAAAAATCGCCTAAGACCTTTGGCAGTTTGTGGCAAAGGATAATTCTGAAGGGCGTCAATGCGATCAGGCACAGGCCTGGTTCCGTCAGCGGTGACTTGATATCCCAAAAAAACTACCGAGTCAGTGTTAAATACAGATTTCTTCACATTTATAAGGACGCCATATTTGACTAACCTCTTGAACAGAATACGGAGGTGTTCTTCGTGCTCGACAGGATCTTTTGAGAAAACAAGGATATCGTCAATGTAGGGGAAACAAAAACTTAGTCCCTCTACGACTTCATCAATAAACCTTTGAAAAGTTTGACCAGCATTCCTCAAACCGAAAGACATGAACTGGAATTCAAAGAGACCGAATGGGGTCGTTATTGCAGTCTTGGGCACGTCTTCTTTATTAACCGGGATTTGGGTATATGCCTTTACAAGATCTATCACAGTGAAAAATTTACTACCGTGTAAACAATTTGAGAAATCATGGATATGTCGAACAGGGTAAGAATCTGGAATAGTGCGGGCATTCAATGCTCGGTAATCGCCACATGGTCGCCACTCATCATTCTTTTTAGGTACCATATGAAGTGGTGATGACCATGGGCTTTTGGAACGACACGCAGTTCCATTTGCTACCATGGATTCAAACTCTAATTTGGCAATTTTATATTTATCTGGAGCTAACCTTCTTGGTCTTGATGAGACTGGTGGGCCAGGAGTCGTATTTATGTAATGCACTGCGTTATAAGGAATAAATCTTGGTACTCCTAAAGGTTTTGTGATTTCTGGAAATTCCAATAACAGTGGATAGTTTGATGGGTCGGAAGTAATTAATTTAATACTATATTGCTGAGTATTCATGAACTGACATTTACTTTTTAATTGTGTAATATTGTCAATTAAGAAACCGTTACTACAATCAGGTAATAAAGAATAGTGAGCTAGGAAGTCAGAACCAATGATTGGAGTGCTTACTTTAGCTATTATGAAATTCCAGACTAGAGTTCTTTGTAGACCAATATTTAAGTTGAGACATAAACTACCATAAGTGGGTATTTCAGAGTTATTTGCAGCTCTGAGTTCTATCCCGGATGGTTTTAAGGGTCTTTTGACTAAATTTAGTGGTATACAACTTACGTCTGAACCTGTGTCTATCAGAAACTTATAGCCTGAATTGTTATCAATTACTTGTAACCTGTTGCTGTGGTTGCTGTCAACTCCGGGTGATTCATGAGTTTGGCGTCTAGGCACATGACAACTAGTCGACACCGCATCTAGTTGCCTAGCTCGTTTTTTGTAGAAGGATAAGTGCAAGGAGTCACGCATTTGATGGCTCGTGATCCATAATGTTTATGATACCAGCAGTAGATGTCATTGTGGGGTGAGGTACTATGCTGTTTACTGGGCTGGCTCTGACTTTGCGATCTGAACTTACTATTTTTATATGTCATCAAGTCATCTGAAAGACGGTTAACTTTCTCCTCCAGCATTGAAAGTTTCTCCAAAATTGCCTCAAAACCTCCTCCTTGATTGAGATTGTTGTGACTATGTGGGGTCTGAGAAAAGGTATTCGTTGGCTTACCTCGCTTTGACAAAATAGCGTCACAGCATATTGCAGGTGAACTCAAAGGTTGAACCTCCTGAATCTTGTCCGCTGTAACTGCCAATGATTCGGTACTGACCCCAGCACCTAACTGGGTTTGGAGGATGCCTTGAATATGCGCAGGAAGTCGCTGCATCCAGATGATTCTCAGCAAGTCATCTTGAACGCTGCTGCCAGCTAACGATTTCAGTCTTCTGAGAAAGTGGGATGGTGTATCTGTCCTGAGTTCTTCTTCTACGAGTAACTGCTTAATCCTCTTATGTTCTGAGACTGATAATCTTCTTATCAGTTCTTCTTTCAGGCTCGTGTAAGGGTTTTCCAGATTTGGGTTTGAGAGTAAATCCTCTATTTCGGAAGCAGTCATCTCATCTAAGTGTGTCACAACGTGTGTGAAACGAAGGCTCTCATCGAAAATGTTCCATAAAGAGAAAATCGCCTCAATCTGTATGAACCAAAGTGCTGGTTTCTCACGCCAAAAATGGGGAAATTTTAATTGCGGAGATTGCATTGAAGTTGTGTTGTCAGACGGTCTTGGATTTACTGAATTGTTTCTTTCTTGAGTTTTCTGATTCATTGGATTAACCAAAAATCTTCTGAATCATGATTTTGTCTTGAATATTCAGAGTCAACTCCAATGACATCATTAAGTTGTTTTCTGAGATCTTGGTTTTGCTCTTCCATCAGTTTTAGTCTTGCCAATACATTGATTTCCATTATGTGTTCTTGATGTGTTCAAATCGGGGTCACCAATTTTAGTGAAAAGATCCTCATTTAAATAGGCTAAATACTTTAAATAAAAGTCTAGAGGTTTCCACTAAATATTATTGTTTAATTTATCATACTTTTACATGTAATTAACAATTAATTGTTTAGAGCAAATAAAAATGAACCACTTTGGTTGAAAAGCCTAAAGGTGATTGATTGAAGGTGTATTTCCTGCAAAGCTTAAGTTATCTAAGGTTGTTCCTGTTTTTAAGAAAGGGTGCAGAGATCTCCCAGCTAGTTATAGGCCAATAGCTTTAATTCCAGTCTTTGCCAAAGTTTTTGAACGAATTTTACATGACCAGCTGTACAATTATTTTGAAGATAATTCCTTGTTTTCAACTATACAGTATGGTTTCAGAACTGGGAAATCTACAATTCAAGCTGTGACCTATCTTGTAGATGCAATCCTAGCAAACCTTGAAAGCAGAGCCGATACTGGTGTCACCTTATGTGACCTCAGTAAAGCCTTTGATTGTGTTTGTCATGAGACATTGCTGGCTAAGTTAAAGTACTACAAGGTGACTGATACAACTCTGTCACTTCTTAGCTCATACCTAGATAATAGAGAACAAATAGTCTGTGTCAATAATCAGTATTCATGTAAGAGACTTGTACCCTTTGGCGTGCCGCAAGGTTCGGTTCTTGGACCTCTTTTATTCCTTGTCATGGTTAATGACATTGATGTTAATGTACCATTTGAGACTGTATGTTTTGCTGATGACACTACTTTGTTTAATTCTGGTTCTGATATAAAAACTGTCAACTTGAATTCTGAAAGTGCCCTTAAAAGTGTATCCAACTGGTTCAGTACCAATGGTTTCATACTTAACAATGACAAAACTCAAACCATAGTTTTTAGTAATAAAAATGTCAAGGCTAGTGATTCTCCCTCCTGTGATCAATTAGGGTTAAGTAATGTTAAACTATTAGGCTTAGTTCTTGATAGAAAATTGACAGGGCAATTTCATACGGATTATATTTGTAACAAACTTTCAAGAGTTGTATATTTACTAAGATCTTTAGATAAAAATGTCCCGAAGTCATATCTCAAGCTTGCTTACAATAGTTTCTTTCAAAGTAATTTACTGTATGGCATATGTTTATGGGGAAATGCAGCTGGAGTACATGATGTCTTACTGGTTCAGAAAAAAGCTGTCAGAATACTAGCTTCAGCTGACTACTCAGAGCACTGTAGGCCTATTTTTATCCATGAAAAAGTGTTAACTGTCTTTAGTTTATATGTTTTGTATGTTCTATTAGAAGTAAAAAAACAATCTGTATTCTTGTTGAAACGGCTAAATGTACATAGCCACAACACAAGGCTCAAGCATGAAATTGACATTCCCTTTTGTAGATTGACCAAAGCAGCCAAAAGCTCTAAAGTTATAGGGCTTAAACTGTACAATATACTACCTCATCATGTCAAGAATATTGAATCCTTTGCTAATTTTAAAACTGTTGTAACAAATGGTCTTCTAAAGCACCCACTTTATTCTGTTAATGAGTTTTTGCATTTGAGTGCTACTGATTTTATAGATTTTAAGTAACATGCATTGTTATTCAACAATTTTTATTTTATGATATTTATTCTCAATTGACAACTGCGATCTCTTCTGTGATATAGGCTAAGTTTTACATATGTTATATAAGGTCTACTGTGATAATGTTCATGACTCTGTTACATTTTCTAGTTTATAGTTTTTTTTGACAATGTCTATTGCACAACTGTGTCTAATGACAATAAAGGATTCTTATTCTTATTCTTATTCTTAAAAGAATGTCTATTTGTTTATTTTTCTGTTCATAGCAACCAAAATTCAATAAACTATTTAAAACATCTGTCAGCTGATAAATCTGTCAGCCACTACAAATATAAAAGATAGAATAGGCTACAACTTGTATTAGTCCAGGCGCTAAACGGGTTGAGTATGCACTGAAAGTCTGACAAAATTTGACTTTTGATTATTGTTGGGGACATCTAGTAGATGAAAAAAATCGATGATGTCGCATTTCTAGGGTGGTCACAACTCGGGGGGGAGGGGGGGAAGTTGCGCGGGTCATCGGTTTACGTTTCCGCGTCTAACTCACAAACGGTTAATGATAGAAAGGTGAATTAAGTGTCTATCTACGCCTAAATATATTGTCTTTTAAAAAGGTTATTACAACCTTTCTTCTATCTCTTATACTTTAGGCGCTAATCAACATTTATTGCAAAAAATAAAATTTAAAAATACTTAAAAATGAAATATCGGAAATATTGCGCTTGTTTAGGGCATGTTACAAACTATTTATGGTTAGAAAAACTAACAAGTAGTACAACAACACCAAGTTTAAAGAAATCCGTGCAAAAACAACAGAGCTACGTTGATTTCAGTAAAAGTAAACGTGGAAAATTCGTAGTAGTATCGAGGCGCGCATGGATGGTACACGTAGCCCACAGTCAATATAGGTTTGATGTTGTAAGTAACTATGGGAAAGCTGAATTTTTCTATGCTGTTAGACCATGTTGCGATTATCATTTTCCCGAAAGTCAACACTCCTCCCCCCTTGTGCTTTCCTCTAACCCCCTTTTTAGATAAATTTACAGCCTCTTAGCAATTAAGCTATAACTTTAAAACGGGTAAGGATAATAATGCAACATTTTATTAATCATTTTGCGTTACGATAATCTACAAAAAGAATTATTAGATGAATAAATGATGAAGAAGATAGATGATGATGAAGAAGAAAATGTGTTCATTGTAATAAAATATAAATACAGTGTTTTTTATTTAAATGCAAATAACAATGGTCAAAGACCGTCGGTTTTGTGTTGGACACACTGATTTTAAAATATTTTAAAACCGTTTAAAAAAATGCCATGAATCACATACAATTATTCATAAAATAAACTGATTTCCACTACAGAAAATACACAAATAGCACTACTAATAAAGATCAGATAACAATTGAATGAATAATAAAATTTAAATGTAGCCTACTGAGAATCTGAATTTTTCCTACAAACAGTTAATAATTCATAAAACAAACCTGTTACTTTTATAATTTACTTTGATGGATACTTAACAAACAATATTTTAAAAATTTTTTAAATTACATAGATTTTTCCAATTTTTGTATCGATATCTCAATTCTTAAATTTAATAATTATACTCCATTATCAATTCCCACCCTTTACTCCACGCCTCTTTAAGATAATTTCCAAGTGCACGCCAATCTTTGCCATTTAAAAATTCAAAAAAACTCATATTCATTTAAATATAACTTGTTAGACCAAAATTGACGTATCTTTTTTTAAATTGGAGATTCTGCTATAAAAGGGTACACGTTTCATCCCGGTTGAGATTACATAGTGAACATACACAAATTTTATTTTCCATATAGAGTTAACTTTTTATTAGACGACCCCTTTTAATTGTAAAAAATGTTTTTAGGGATGGTTACGAATAAAAAATATATATCCACAATTTTCCAATATGGCCAACAACTTTGTTATTTCTTATGGAATACGCTATATTTTAGTATTCTTTTACAATTTAAAAGCTATTTTCTTATTCGTGACATTTTTCTCTAAACCTGCCCCATTTAGGAGTTACAGCGTGTTATATCTCGAAGAAAGGCTTGTGGTGTACATTCGGCATCTGTAGCTCATAAACGAGTAAGTTGAGAGAGAAAGTGCAAAGAATAAATAAGTCACATATAAGTCCTCGTTCAAAAAATATATAAAATACGTTAAAAAATACTGATTTTGTTGTTTTAAAAATGGCCACCATTTTCAAAAATGCTAGCTTACTTTGATATTGGAACAATTTATTTTATGTTTTTTTTTTATGTAGATGTGATTTGAAAACTTGTTTATTCTTTGTATTTCCGCTCTTAAACTTACGTTTATGAGCTGTGAGGATGCAGGATGTACTCACAAACCATTTCTGTTTCGATGTAACTCCTAAACAAGTAGCTTTAGAGAAAAATGTCAAGAATAAATAGGTTTAAAAGTTGTGCGTTTACATTCTAAAACAATCATAAAATAAAGGGTATTCCATAGGACTAACAAAGTTGTCATCCATATTGGAAAATGGCGAACATATTTTTAAAATTCGAAACCACAAAAAAAAACATCTTAAAATAAAGGGTAGTGTCCCATAAGAAGTTAACTCTATATCCCATAATAAAAAAGTTATCTATTGGTTCACTTTAGGTGAGACACCCTGTATAATAAAATGAGGCTCTAGCGTACAGCAGCAAATGCACGATATTCATTCATATGTATCCACTACAGTCTGTATATGTACTGAATGAGCTACATAACGTTAATATAATCTATATAAAGCGGCAAATTCAAATACAAAAACCATAATATACGTAATTTTTTTCATTGTTGCGGTGCACAAAAAAGCCTGAGTCCTGTAAAATCAATATACTGTACTATCTATAACTACTATATGCAAACAAACTGTTAATAACTATGTGTCATTTTAAAATGTAAACTATGCACCCCAAATTTTGTATCAAACATTTTGTTGTGCGACCTCGTATAAAAAATCTACAAAGAAAAGTTTCATAAATTAATCTGTAAAAAATATTTTTTTTTATGTTTAT